CTTGTCTACGATTATTGACGTCAGAGAGGCTTTTGGGAAAATTTTATGTATACGTTTAGGATTCTCTAAATTGAGTCATAATAGAAAGAGCTTTGTGTTCACCGTCAATCGTAATTGAATGGAGTCCCGCCACTAGGCATGTTGTGGGGTTAACTTATGGGGAAGGGTCGTTTGCCCGACATCAGACACTCGAGCAATACTTAGAAAGGGCTGGTCATGGTGTCTGTCTACCACCGAACACAATTAAAAGTTCTCATTCACTTTTGGCTTAACCAAGTCCACATATGTCTAAGGAGTTTTGATCCTCTATTTTTTAGGCAAGGACAAGGTCGTTCATCAGGAGGTGTTGGCTGAACTGACGTACCTGACTCTTAAGGTGTCGTTTATCTTGGTCTTTGGTGATGTAGGAAAGGGAGATATCTTCTTTCTCGACCATTTTTGAAAGGATAAAGAAGTACCTCAATAATGAGTTAATACTTATACCATCGAATGAGACTAGTTCTTGGAGGAGCGTACCAAGACGTCTGCCTTACTGAAAGAGATAGGGACTGAAGTGCATAATTTCGGGATACCTCACTTATTGATTGAGAGAGTATCTTGCGTAAGAAATGAAGAAGAATTATGAAGCTTTATCATTTGCATGATTGATGTTATCCATAACTGAATTCTCTCTTACAAAGGTGAGTCAGTAATTGGAATCTTTCCGCAAGAGAGTGGAGGACTTGGAGTTGTCTTTAAATGAGGTTTAGGAAAGTTGGAAAGAGATATGAGGACCGTCTTCGAGAGATGTGTCATGAAAATCTCGAGCTATCCAAAGAGTATGCGAAATTTACGGTAGACATATTCTATATTATGTTCCTTTAAAAATGCTTTTCAATGAATTGATTTTTTTCATCGGACGATGCACATTTCATGAGAGCAAGTTTGTCATGATTTAGAGATAGTGGAGTGGAAACTAATTTTCGTTGGGGACAAGCTGATCTTGTAGTTTTTTTTGTATGGGAAGAACTTACCCAATGTAATATTAGCTGCAAATAAATTCCATAATTGTTGCTTTGTGGCATTTCTCGTTTTGTTACTTACCATTGTTTCACATTTTATGGTGTTGCTTTAGTTTCCTGAATTCGTTTTTCTAGGAATTTGCAAACGTTCGAGGTTGCACTCAGAAGTTTTGTTGGCTGTCTCTAGAAACCATGTCTTCCCTGCCCTTAAGTTTGAACTTGGTTCGAGGTTAGTGTAGTGGGGACTCACCTCTTCCTTTAGAGTGGCTAGCTAGCAAGAGGGGTGAACCTACATTACCAATTTTTGATTTATTATTTTTTATCCATGTGATTTTTTGCCGCGGGTTTGATTGCTTTGGTTGTACGTTTGCGGCATTTGCGACAACACCACTAATTTGTTCAATGTAAGGTTTTGATTATTTTAGTCATACGCTTGTGGCATTTGTGACAGCACTCCTTGATTCGTTCACTGTGGGGTATTGATTTTTTATTTGTATGCTTGTGGCATTTGCGATAATACCCCTCTGTCATGGTTATCCTTTATGATCATAAAGAAGAGAATTTAATGAAACTTTATTCATTCCTTTTAAAAAGACAGAGTATTACATGCATATATGATAAAGGAAAATTTAACCAAGCACCGTGATCACTGCTTCTTCTCATCCAACTGTGGTAATACAACATTATCCGGCGGGCCTTACTTGGAGTTATCCCCTGCTTCTGTCAAGTCAAAATTTTTTACATTATACTCGTCGGTACCCCCAGTCCTTCTAGCTGCTCTTCCATTGCATCCTTTATGTGGACACATTCATTAGTATTGTGGCCTTGAATTTTGTTGAAACGATAGTACTTCAAATTATGTGTCATGCCCAACTCTCTAACCGAATAGAGGTTTCTGATCCTGACTTTTTTGAATTCAGTTAGTACTCACACATTCTTGCCAAAATTTCTCCCTAAATTTGTTTAAAGGGGTGTATGCAAAAAAACTTCGATCAACGCCCTCACTTCCACTCATATATGATACAATTATTATCCTTTTTTAGAGCCTGACCATAAATGAAATTTCTCTCTCTTTGGGTCTTCTCTTTTGATATGAGTTCTTCTTAATACCTTATGTAGTGTTGGCCCTATTTAGCAGGCCATTTAAACTCCATGCTCTTTTTAACCCTAATATTTTTTGTGAACATGCAATCTGATCTTAGTCTCTTTTTGAAGATTCAACATTTTAATCCATCCTTTAAACCTCCTACCTCTACCGTTACCTTTTCTTATTTTGCATGATCCCGCTGAGTACGACCATCGTAATAGGTAACCTCTTTCGAGCAGTGAATTGAGTAGCAAAAAAATCACACATTTCCTTCCACGAGTCTATACTCTTGCCTAGAAGGGCTTTAAAACAAGTCATGGAAGCTCCCTTAAAGGTTAACATAAAAAGTTGATAGTTCACGGATCCCTAAGAATGATAATATCCAACCGGTTATCGACATGTTCAACATGTTCGCTTAGATCCCCGACGTCGTTATAACTTTCTAGTTTTGGGGGTTTCTCAAAGGGCTATGGGATCCTTATATTAAGAATGCTTGCGGGGAGTGAGTTCCTTTCCGCTCAAAGATTGGGCACCTACTTTGTACATTTCCCTATTCTAGAAGTAATGTGTTGGCTAACTTTAGGGATGGAAAACCTCTAGTGGAGTGCGTCTGTCACTTCTCTATCCAAAGTCGAGTGAGGGAGTATGATGTATTCTATTTCGGTTACAACTTGGCGACTTTAGAATTACTTAGTGTGACGAGGTTGCATCTACAGGAGCCGACTGTGGTATGACTTTATGGTCGCCGCACGATGCCACCTTACGCGTAATGTTTGCTCTCGGAGAAGCACACTATAAGTTCTCTTCAATTTATAGTATCTTGCGCGATGCCAGGGCATGGGAATTTTGTTGTTGTAACAAGTTATAGACATTGTTCAGTAGGTTAACAACTTCTTGCATGTGTAGATTAACACATAATCGTTGAATGTTCAGGAGCATCTCATGCCTACATATAAATGGTTGTGATGGAGGTTGTTATGAAGGTTGGCCTTGGCAAAGTTGTTGCATAGGTTGAAAGAACAAAAAGGCTTGGAACATTCCTTCGTCCATTCTTGGAGGAGAGAGATCTTCTTAGGTAGGAATACACAAAGAGGTCACGAGGAGTAGATTATTCTCTACTACACGAGGATGAGAAACTTCATTAGCCTCGGTGGCTGCAACAACGATGTAACATTGAGCAACATGTTTGGTAATCTTCAACATCACTGAGGCTTTAAGAGTTCGTTATTTGATTTTTTCGAAAAAGAGATCAGTGTTTTAAGAGAAGAAGATCATTGATCTGCAATGAAAAGAAGAAGATTGATGGTTTGTGCCTTTAGTGAAGACACGATGATTGTCGTAGGAAAATGAAGAGAATCAAGTTTTGTTTCCTATAGACGGTGCTATTGTTCTATCAGGGTATGACAAATGTGTAGTAAAGTGGTAAAATGAAATTTTAGGGTCAGTTTGGTTGGGGGTAAATGGAGGGGAGAGAATATTTAATAATTTATGTGGTTGGTTCAAATTTTAAGAGGGGAGGGGAGGTAGATGAAGGGGACCAAAATCCCTCTTGAACCACTTTTTGCTTCCCCTCGGGTTGGAGGAATTTGAAAGGGAGGGGAGGTGCTTGATTTTAATTATAATTATGTTTACATATTTACCCTTATTATTTATTTAATTATAAATTTAACTTAGAACAATGTTAAAAATTTTATTTTGAACAAATTTAATCTTTCTTTTTATATTTTTTGTATTTTTATATCTTCATCTTACTACCATTATATTTGTTTAAATTTTTTATTTTATTTTTCATATTTTAATATTAGTTTTAGTTATCGTAACGTTTTTGTTTATAATAATAGGGAGACCAAAACTATAATTTAGCCAATTATATATTATAATTGTTGCATTTTTATAAAAGATTTCATGATGATCTCTGATTGAATATTTATATTTCGTTAATAAATTTGTATTTGAATTATAAATGGTAAATATCACAAATCTTATGGTAAAATTAGAAAAATAAAAAAGTAAATTAGTTTAAAAATATCTCCCCTCCCCTTGTGAACCGAACATATTTGTAAATAAAATGCATCATCTCCCCCTCCGCTTTCATATTTTGAACCAAACATATATGTAATTAAAATTTCTCCCTCCCTTCTCCTCCCATTCCCTCTCCTTGATAAAAATTTCTCTCTTTCTCTCTCCTCGATTGAACCAAACAGACCCTTAGTGCGGTGGAACAAGCTTTTTAATACAATAGAGAAGGAGATAAACCTAAAAATTACCGCTTTTACACCCAATTCAATTATTGAATAAAAAGAAATATGAGAGTGAAAATAGATTAAATACCTTACATGATATGATCTAATCTTTATATAGTATCACTAGTTAAAACCGCTTCTATGTGATTCACCTATTAGATGCATCTTTCTTTAAATACTTGTTATTGGACCAAAAAGTAGGCCTTGTAGCACAAACCAGAACCCAATTTCCATTAATTGCATGAAGAGCAGAAAAGCATGTGAAGTGATGGAATAGTTTCCATTGCACATATTCTCCACGAGCGAAAAGCATGGCTTATGCAAGGGCATTAATGTCATACCAATAAACAGTTACTGAAAAATATCAATAAAATAAGAATGGACCCGACAAGGCACCATTTGGTAATATTATAAAACTTAGCGGTTATAAAGTCTTCTTGCTTGTGTTGTATTCAACTTCCCTTACCTGCAAAGACAGACAGAGAGAGAACACAAAGCAAAGAACAAGAATAACGTGGCTCCTAGGAAAACAAACAAACAAACCACAACTGAAAAAGTTTAAAACGCAGCACCTTCTCAAATTTGCTTCCTTTTAGTACCCTCTGATTCTTCGGTTTCGTTCTCAAAACCGAGTTTTCAACATGAGTTTTTCCTTCTAACTTTGAAGCTATGACTTGGAAGAGTAGAGGAGAGGTTGTTCTTGTTCCTAGAACCTTCATGTCTCAGAAATGGATGATTTTCTTATGTATTGGAAGCTTCTGTGCTGGAATGTTTTTCACCAACAGGTACATCAAATTTCTATGTTCTTGTTCTGTTTTCTATATTGTTAATTCATATTCATAATTGATTCATCATTTTTTTTGTTGAGATCTTTCAAAAAGTATTCATCAATTATTTTCTATTTATTAATTCATTTGAGTTATATTGATATTTCTTAATTTCATTGACTTTGATTTTTCTATCATTTCTAAATTTCAAGTCTTCTTAACTTTGTCCATTTTTGACCAAAACTTAGAAGAAATGAAATGGATCTGAAATGAATTGATTGGTATAAATGATTTTAAGTTTTAACCATTAAACTTTTTTTTTGTTTAAATTGCAAGTCTTCTATATAATTGACCCTTATGTTAACAAGTCAATATCTAAAAAATTAGTGAATATTTAATTTCTGGTTAAATCATATTTACTGATATTTATTAAATTATCAGATATTTTATTTATTTATATAATATTATTTTTTTAGATTTAAAAATGACTGCACATGGCTTATGATATATATCATCTTCACTCATCAAGGTTGAAGATGACCTCTGACACCAAATAATGAATTTTCACAATCAGTAGTTGCAACTAAATCACTTATACTTATTTACTAGCTGTTGAAAAATTGATCTTTTATTTTGGGATCTAACTATTTTCAGATTTTTTATTTTATTTTATTTAACATAGGATGACCACATGAAAGTCTTATATTATTGTAACTTTAAAAAAAAAAATTCAACTTAAAATATTTAATTGTTCTTAGATTCTAATTAGTGATATTTTATTAATAAGAAATTTAAATGTGTGACAGAATGTGGACTATTCCTGAACCTAAAGGACTTGCAAGGACAACAGCAATGGAAGCTGAACAATTAAGTTTAGTTTCAGAGGGTTGTAATTCAAGAATTGTAAGCACTTTTATACTTCGAATTCGATTTTTCATGTATCATATGATATGAAATTTCTATAACAATAATTGTGTTTGATTTTTTAGTTGCAAGAGAAGGAAGTGAAGCGTGAAATTAAAGGCGATTTTAAAACACAAAAATCTATACAGTGAGTTACACATTTAGTGTGATTTTGTTTTTATAATTTTTGTTGTTGTTATTTTGAATGCTAAACATGTTTAGTAATAATTGTGTTGTTGAATGTAGAAATTTGGACAAGACGATTTCGAATTTGGAAATGGAACTAGCTTCTGCTAGAGCAACACAAGAGTCTCTAAAAAGTGGTGCTCCTGTATCTGAAGATTTCAAGATTAATGAATCGACTCGTAAAAGAAGATACTTAATGGTTATAGGAATTAACACTGCTTTTAGCAGCAGAAAAAGAAGAGACTCGATTCGCGCTACTTGGATGCCACAAGGTTCATAATTTCATCATCACTTCCTTTTTTCGACTATTCGTAGACAATATTTGACACAGACGTTTAATCATACACTACGGTCTTATCACATCATACTAATGTGTGATACGATCGTAAAGTATGGTTAAACGGCTATATAAATCATGTTTGTCCCGTGTCAATGTATATAGTTGTGAAACTGTTTCTCAATTGGTCATGATCTCTGATGTTGGTTCGGGCGATAACCTGTAAAATAGGTGAGAAAAGAAAGAAACTAGAAGAAGAGAAGGGAATTATTATCCGATTCGTGATTGGACACGGGTAAGTTATCTCATATCTTTTTCGACTCTTTAATTTCGTATCATTATTATAAATTGAACATTTTTGGCTCTTTTCTCAGTGCCACAACAGGAGGTATCCTAGATAGAGCTATTGAAGCAGAAGATAGTAAGCATGGAGACTTTTTGAGACTGGTAATCATCACTTCAATAACATGTTACGATATATATTGTACGATCGGGGCGTAGTTTTGAAATCGGTGTTTTGATTTTACAGGATCATGTTGAAGGATACCTTGAATTATCAGCAAAGACAAAAACCTACTTTGCGACGGCTGTTAATTTGTGGGATGCTGACTTTTATATCAAAGTTGATGATGATGTTCATGTAAATATAGGTATCATAACTTGTTCAATCTCATGTAAATTTTTATGGAAATAAGCTGAAAAACAACTTAAAGACAAGTCATAAGCTGTTTCTATCAGATATTCCGACCAATCTCAGAAGTACTTATACCAGAAATGGTTTATGTTTCAATCTTTTTTCAGCAACACTGGGCGAAACTCTAGTTAGACATCGAGCAAAACCGCGAGTATACATTGGATGCATGAAATCTGGACCTGTTCTTTCTCAAAAGTGAGAACTATTTTCCTTAATCCATCTTTTATTTAACAGAAGATTATAAATTTGCAACATTTCACTTCTAGCTTCTTACATGTTCATTTTCTTGCAGAGGAGTAAGGTACCATGAGCCAGAATACTGGAAATTCGGCGAGACAGGAAACAAGTACTTTCGTCACGCAACAGGACAATTATACGCAGTTTCAAAAGATCTCGCTACATATATTTCAACAAACAAGTAACCACTTTTTCCTCTTACTTATATTGTAAAAAGTCGAATTGAAGTAAACTAATAGATTTTTGTTTTTAGAAATGTTCTTCATAAGTACGCAAATGAAGATGTTTCGTTAGGAGCTTGGTTTATTGGACTCGATGTTGACCACATCGATGATCGTAGACTATGTTGCGGTACACCACCAGGTGAACATTTTTCATGTGTTATAAATCATTATATACTAAAGAAATTGCACTCGCGTCTAAAGGTTGTACGAATTACGAACCAAACCGATGACTCAACCTGATTTTTATTGGTTCGGATATCAGTTTCATACGTTTTAAACTCATGAATTGGTGATTGTTGCAGATTGTGAATGGAAGGCACAAGCAGGGAACGTTTGTGTTGCCTCATTTGATTGGACATGCAGTGGAATCTGTAGGTCTCATGAAAGGATTAAAGAAGTCCACAAAAAATGTGGAGAAGGTGAAAAGGCTTTGTGGAATGCTTCTTTCTAGGAGAGATCTTGAAAGTTCTTCCTAACTCAGGAAGATTATAACTATAGCAATGAACTTCTTAGGGTGCAATAGATTTTTTTTTTCTATATGTTTTAGAATTATAGAAATTTTTTACTTGAATTACACGAGAGCAGGAAATAGAGAGAGGAAGAGAAAAGAAAAGAAAGGGAAAAGAGCCTTGTGAAATTTATAATAAAGGAGATTAACCATTGTAGTTATTAGAATAGAAAGAATAGGGCATTTTATAATATGTTAATAGTTCCATGCCTATTATGCTTCTAATAAATATATAGATGATGAAATATTTTGTTGGCTGTTGAGGCCATTCCTTTCATTTAATTTTGAATTTTTGTTTGGTGAATTTGAACCTATATCTTATACATTTTCCACAAAAGAAAATAGTTTAGGACTTTTCAAACTATAAGGTTAGGTGACCTTATAGTTCAATAAACTTGAAATGAAGTGGTGGAGTATCATAAATAAATTGTCATACCAAATGCCTATTTGATTGGAGCAATATGCAGCTACCCTAAAAAATTCATTAAATTGATCCCAAATGTCAAACTAAATGTGAAAAGTGAAAAATTCAATGAATGGTAAACTTTAGGGATGTTTGCAGGCGGATTTGATTTGTTTTTAGGAGAATTCGATGATTAAACCAATCAAAAAATATATAGATTGATTTGGATTGAATTTATACATTTTAGTGATAAAATTTAAACCGAACCAAACCGATAAATAATGAGTTGGTTTGAATTGGATTAATCGAATATATTAAAAACAAATATGCAAAAATATTTTTTAAAATGTCTAATTTAAAAACAAATATGTTAATATTTTTTCATAGTTTTATTTTTTTCTTAAATTTTAGTTTAGTTCGAATTGGTCCGAAAAAATAAATAGCAATGCTTTTTTTTTGTTAGCATGCTTTATTAGAGATATGCTATTGAAAATTTGCAATTAATAAGGTATGATGATTGCCACTAGCAACTACTCCTTAAACATCGCAGTGTCCGACACATGATTGCATTCGACATTTGTATGACGCATATACAATACGTGTCGTAAAAGTTAAATAAGTGTCAGAAAAGTCAGACAAATACTTTTAAAAATTTAGTTTTTTTTCTTTACTTCGACACATTTTAAATCAGTATCTGATATCTATATGACATTCATAAAACACATATTTAATAATTCAGACAAATTATTTTAAAAAAAATACTTTTTTCTTTTTCTCAACACACTTCTCAATAAAAACAAAAAAAAAAATACTGTTTTTCTTTTCCTAACACACTTCTCAATAAAAAACTAAAATATTAATTTTGATTAGAATATTTTTAATTTTATTGATATTAGATGAATAAATGAAACTCAAATACTATGACACATATAGAAGTGTTGGTGTTCTAAATTTTAGACATATCTATATCAAAATGTCTATGTTGTATCGCAGTATCCGTGGGGGAATCTGTACTTCATTGCCTCAAACACTTAAGATTATTTAGTCCATAAAACCATTGTTTTATAAATTGAGCAGAACTATTGAATCCGTACTATTATTTGAACAATTCTATTGCATTTCATTCTAATTCAAGTGATTTAAGGTAGTTAGTTGCCTAGTATCACATGGCCCCTCAACAACTATACCTAATGAAAAAAGAATTGATTATGAATTAATCAAACCACAACCATAGCTGAAATAAGAAAGTAACAGTGGAAGTGTGTTATTGAAGTTGCATCTATCTAAGGAGACAGAGAAAAAGACAGAAAAATGGAATTAATGAAAACTGCCGTTTTCATTGAATGTGGTGGTACCATGTCCACTTCATTGCTGCCAGTGGCAGAACCTAACTAATGCACCAGGAATCTCTTGTATCCCAAACATATAAATATGAAAGCATTTTGGTCTTTTTTTTTTTTTTTTTTTTAAAATTTAAATTTAACATTATAATTTTAAAGATTTTGTGTTTATTTTGACCTAACATGTGATTAATTATGATAACCGAGTTGAGCCACAATTAATTAATTTATATTTTTGGTCTAATTGAGAGGTAGAGATTAGAAAGCATTAGAGATTTTCGTTGAGAATGAATTCTCATATTCCAGTTATGGTTATAATAATGAGAAGAAAATTGTGAATAGTTACAGAAATGGTTAGACGAAAATAGTAATGGTGGTCCTAATGGAGGTATCAAACAGAGCTATCAATTCAGGTTCCAGCGGTCCATTCAATTCAAGCCACTATACAAGGCAGGATAATCAATTTTCTACCTCAAAAAGGTGAGTAAATTCTCTCAAGTGGGGTTTTACATGAAAGATGAAAATGTGATTTAGCAGTGTTTAAAAAGAATAAAAAATAGTTGGTAAACGGTGGATAAAATCTCCCAGGTGTGGGTTTTAAACTACTTTTGTGTGTATTTTGTTAGATATATAAGGACATTATTATAAATTGAAGCCGTGAGAAAATGTCTCGGTGAGTAAGATTTGGAAGGTTTATGAT